TGATTCTATTCCTAAATTACAATGATTCGTCTGTTTCATTCCTCAGCCTTTGGCGTGTGCAGTCAATGTTGTGATCACTTGGTTCGTCAGTGCAGAGTACGATCACACCAGTGTGATTTGAACATTTAAATCTGCGTTCGCGCAGCCATTGACCTAAAGAGAGCAGCTGTCTGTCATGTATAAAACAGCTTCACAGTCTTTTCAGCCACACAGTATCATTATTTCTGTTTCTGTTACAAACATTCAAATCACAGAAGTACTGGGATAAAAGTTTATAGTTCAGATATAAACTCTGATGTGTACGGTAGTGATTAAAATAGAGTAAATCACCTTTTGAAAGTAATTTGACACTTCAAATTAAGATTTATTGATTACATTGTTACGCAAATAGGTGGCGAAAAGGGGCTGTTAAAATGAATTTGTTTTTGAATCATACAAGAGATTCGTTCAAGAACGCTGATTCATCCAGTAATGAAACAAGTACATCTTGAGTGAGTCATTTAATAATTAATTCATAAATTACATATGATTTTGTTTAGTTGTCTAATGTTTTTTTTCTTCAGAATCATCATGAGAGAACCACAACTTCCACTGGGGGAAAAAAACGGGAACCCCCCCGCCCAATTTATCCAGAATCATGCAGTTCTATTTTGCACACAGACAGCTCTTGAAGAGTTTTTATGTAGCCTGTTGATTTTTGTTCATGGTATTCAGCTCCAATATATGGTTTGCAAAAAAGAGACACAGGATAAATGTTTGATATCATTATTTAATCACATTGGAATCGAAACTGGGAATCGAAAAGAATCGGAATCGATAAGTAGAATCGGAATCGATAAAATTCAAATGATACCCAACCCTAAGCGGAAATGATTAAAAAGGAAGAAAGGATAGAAAAAAGGAGGAGAGGGTAAAAGCTGACTCCAAGAGAGAGTTGAGTAAGCCACACAATTGATGCGAGCCTTGCCAGTTTTAATGTAAATAACAAAATTTAATGTAAATAATCTTTTTTGAACTGTCATTAGGATGCGCCACCGTTACAATAGTCAGCTTTTAACAGAGAGGTATATTCTTTCCCCAAGTATAATTTTGCCTGTCAGAAAGTTTTCTTAACTGGCTAAAAACCTAACTAATTTATGCGTTGTGCTAGGGCTGTAGCTATCGATTATTGTAGTAATCGAGTATTCTGCAGATTATTCCATCGATTAATCGAGTAATTGGATAATAAGTAATTTTTCTTTATTAAAGAGCAATACTAAATATACAAGAGATAATAAGATAGATCTCTTAAAATAAACAACTAATTTGTTTTCTTTTTAGAAAAATTAACATTTTTATTGCTGAAATTGCATACATTAATAACCGTGAAGACTAAACCCATTTAATGTATTTAATTGCCAAATTGCATTCAAAATGCAAATACAAATATATCAATAAAAAAATAAAATAAATACAAAAATCTATTTCACATTATTTAAAAAAAGGTAAACAGTACAAACTAAAACTAAGGCATAAATCAAAATAATAGTAATAAAAATAATAATACCTAAGCATTGCATTTATGTCGTGCAATTTAACTTTCAAGTTTCAGCCTAACCTAAGCTCAAGCATGACATAAGCCTTTACTGTCTTCTTGGAAGGCTTGTATTGAAGGTGGGAGAGAGTGCTGTACATTCAATCCCCCCACCTACAATCCCTGCCGGTACGAGACTCAAACCCGCAACCTTTGGGTTACGAGTCCGACTCTCTAACCATTAGGCCACGACTTCCCCCGAATGCATGCATTTAACCTGCAGTTAAAAATATACATAAATAATGTTTTGTTATTTTAAACATAAAACATTGAATACTGATATTTCAAATTATTTTAAAAACGAAAAAAAAAAAAAACGCCAGCAGGTAGCAGCAAGTCCCTGTTAAGAAGTGAGTAATTGCGATTGAACCGAATCATTTAAACGGTTGATTCAATCAGAAACGAAACGCTGTCATGTTGTACAGAGACGCAAAACAGCGCTGTGGCTGTGTTTGGAATTTTTTTGTTGGCAAAATAAAGCAAAAACAGGCATTATAGTGTCTAAAACGTAAGTCTCATAATATTACCTTCTTGTTTTTTGAACTGTTGAATAAAATCACATTTGTAATCATGCTGATTTTAGAGGTGAAAACTGGCACTCTTCGTGTGATATTGACTAACTTTCTTTCTGTGGTGTTTTTATGCACAATGGCGTTTAGTCTTTAACAAAACATAGCTAACGTAGGGACATTATAACTAGCCACCATATTGATTTACGGTCTTAAATATATCCAGCGCTTTTTTTTTTTTTTTAAAGTCTGGTCCCTGTTTTTATACAGTCTATGGTCTGGTCCAGCCTTTATCGGGTTGTACGTCAGTAATAATGGTCCGTGGGGAAACACTGTGTTCCATGTGTAGTTATAGTAAATGGACTAAACGAAGCCTCGATGCAAATAATTTGCCTCGATGATTTTTTTGTATTCGAGTTACTCGAGGTATTCGAGGAATCGTTTCAGCCCTACTTTGTGCGCTCAGAAATTCTTATCTAGGTTTGCCTTGTGCTCTATAAAGAATTTTTTTTTTTTTTGCTTTTCAGGTTTGTTTAACAATAATAAGACCACACTTTAATTAAAAAATGTTATTGAAGAAAAAAGTAGCAGTTGTGTAACTGTTGGATTTGAAATTTAGTCTGTGGATTGTGATTTGTATGGCAGTGCTGTAGTAGAATGTAGATCCAGACTGCACAGAATGTTTTAAACATTCAGGGTGAAACTAACAGACATTTCGATGAACTGAACAAGAATGATTTTATGCCGTTCCACTGGAGACACTGTGTTTTTATAATGAGAAAAAAGGCAGATGCTGTTTAGAAGAGTGGAAGATTTTTAGTCAACTTTCAAGTCAACCCTCTACATTGCGAGTAAATCACTCGCATATGCGACTAAATCTTCACTCTGGGCGACTAAATTATGTCTAATATTAGCCAATTGCTAATCAATTCCCAGATTTTACTCGCCAGTGTGTGAGTTGGAGGCTAAGTATAAGTTTAGCTCAGATATATTTTCACTCGCCGAACGCTCTCTGACTGAGCGCTTCAGAGTTTCACTCTCCGTCAAGCGATCTGTGCTGTTATTCAGTTCATCTGAATGGATGTGTAACGCACCTGTATTTAACGTGCCATAAACTCTAGTGTGAAGGTGCAGGACTCGCCGTCGCTTTGTTTCACACACGCAGCGAGAGAGGGATAGGGATGGGCAGATCGATCCTTAAGTATCGATACTTTCGATACTGATGTTGTATCGAAAGTATCGAACCTCGCATAAAAATATCGATTCTGAAGTGCATTTTTTAAACCATTAATTGTATTTACTTATGAAGAAATTCGGTGCATAAAAAAGCTTCTAGGTGGAAAAATAGACTATATTAGCGAATAATTGTGTTGGATAGAACCATTTCTCCTGTTCATCGGAACACACGCAATTGCTGAAAGACAGAACCAATCAATCACAGACTAGTGTTGGGTCGTTCTTGAACGATTCGTTCGTTTTGAACGAATCTTTAATGTGACTCGGGAAGAACGAGTCGTATCGGGGAGCGATTCGTTCAGTCGCGCATGCGCAACATCCTATAGGTTCTGTACTGGAATTAGTCAAGTAGTTCACCTGGTTCGAGCC